CTTAAAACTCAAGAATTAACCAACTGAAATTAAACTTACCTTTGCCATGGAGCATACGGGAAGAGAGGAGGAAGGAAATGACCCAGCTCCAGAACTTTCTTTTCTTCTCACCCTTCCCACGTTTATATCACCTTTAAAAGAAAGATAAAAATCTTTCTGGTCAAATGAACATTTAACCCTTAATTTCCTTTAATAATTACTAATTAACCTTCATCATATATATCCAATAATCATTGAACTATTTCATTCTTATACTTTAGTCACCAAATTCTGAAACTTTACAATTTGGTCACTAACCCGGTATTGCGGATGTTACACATCTGTTCAAAACAGTAAGAAAACTCAAAGGAAAGTGGGTGTTTTTAATATTTTGAAGAATGCCAAAGGTGCAATTAAGAACTGGGTTGGGAGAAGAGATCAGTATCCAAAAGCTTTGATTTCTGATTTAGAAGAGAAAATTCAAAAGTTAAAGGCTGTCCAACAGCAGCAGCATGGTATTTCAGACAGAGAATTAATAGCAGATTTGAACTCTCAAAGAGCAGAATTGTGGAAACTACTTAAAATTCAGGAGCAGATCAGTTTCCAGTATTCTAGATCAAAATGGATTAAAGATGGGGACCGCAACACAAGATACTTTCATACTTGTGCTACAGTTAGAAAGAAGCAAAATGCATTGAATGCACTGAATTTTGGGGGAATTAAGATTCAGGATCCGATTACAATAAAGGCAACAGTTAGGAATTACTTCTTCAAAATTTACAATGTGCGTTCAACTCTGGAAATTGATGACATAAGGCTGGATTTTAGCAAAATTACACTGGATCAGAATCAGTTGTTACAGAGAGAATTTTCTGAAGATGAGATTTGGGAAACCTTGAAGTCTTATGACAGTAACAAAGGCCCAGGGCCGGATGGTTTAAATTTGGGATTTTTCAAGAGGTTCTGGCCTATTTTAAAGGAAGATATTACGATTTTCTTTTGAAATTTCTATTTGGGAAAAGATTAGGAACATGGTGTAAACCATACATTCATTACTCTTATTCCAAAGATTTCGAATGCTGGTAGCCTCGATGATTATAGATCTATAAGTTTAGTAGGTAGGCTATATAAGATTTTATCTAAGTGTCTATCAAGGAGGTTAAGGAGCTACATTTCAGACATTATCAGTCCTTCTCAATTTGCTTTCATCCCAGGTCGACAAATTTTGGACTGCTCTTTAATTGCTAATGAGGGAATTGATTTTTGGAGGAAGAAAGGTTTAAAGGGTTTGTGTTTTTAAAGTGGATTTTAAAAAGGCATATGACACAATTGACTGGCCTATTCTTTTCAGAGTAATGAGGAAAATGGACTTTGGTTCTACATGGATTAGCTGAATCTCGAAATACGTCACAACAACTTCTATATCAGTTTTGGTTAATGGGGTTCCTACAGAGGAATTCCCAATGGCAAAGGGTATTCGTCAAGGTTGCTCTTTGTCTCCTATGTTATTTTAACATTGTTGGGGAGAAGGGAGAAGGGAGAAGGGAGAAGGGAACTTTAAAATTATCCCTATGTTATTTTCGGGTATGGTTATTAGCAGGGAGAAGGGAACTTTAAAATTATCCCACCTTCAATTTGCTGATGACCTAATAATATTCTGTGGTGCATCTAAAAAGTAGGTTATGAACGTGAAAAGAGTACTTCGAGTCTTCGAAGTTATATCTGGTCTCCAGTTGAACTTAAAGAAGTCAAAACTATTTGGGGTGAATATGAATGAAGAGGAAATAAGAGATTGGGCAAATTCGGTGGGTTGTACTGTTGGTAGCTTTCCTTCAGAATACTTAGGACTACCTCTGGGAGTACAAAGAAATTCTTCTGCCCTATGGGATCCAGTGGTTCATAGTTTCAACAAGAAGTTGGCAGGTTGGAAGGCATCCTCTCTTTCTATGGCAGGGAGGTTAGTTTTAATTAATTCAGTCTTATGCTCACTTCCTACATACTATTTGTCATTGTTTAAAGTTCCGGCTTCGGTGTACAAGTCAATCAATTCTATCTTGTCCAACTTCTTATGGGGCGGAGGAAATAGTCAGAACAAGATTCATTGGGTGGGTTGGCCCAATGTGTGCAAACCGAAATTTGAAGGTGGATTGGGGGTTCCAAACATTGACAAGGTAAACAGAGCTTTATTAGAAAAATGGTCTTGGAGGTTTGCTAATGAAAGAAATGAGGAATGGAGGAGATTGATTTGTTCTAAATACAATTTAGACTCTTCTTTACTGCTATTTGACAATATGGTTATACCCAAATTTTCATGGATTTAGAGATCCGTGGTGAACAGTCATTACAGAATAGACCCTACTGGCTGTAAAATTAGAAGCAACTATTCTGTTCAAGTTGGCAATGGGGGTAGCATTCGATTTTGGCAAGATGTTTGGGCAATGGATCAACCATTAAATATCATTTTTTCCGAGATTGTTTTCCATTTCCTTAAACAAAACTGGAAAATTATCTGAGTTTGGTGATTTTAGCTCAGGCAGCTGGTTTTGGGATATACATTTAAGAAGGGAATTGAATGATTGGGAATATGAGCAATGGTCTAATTTGATGACAATTATTTCAAATATTTCCCTTTTGGTTGATTCATCTGACGTACTGGTCTGGAAAGGCACTGGAGATGGGGTATTTACTGTGAAATCTTGTGTTAGTCAGTGTTATTCAGGGACCTCAAGTTCATTAGATGTTAATTTCTGGAAGAATGTTGTTTGGAGTGGATTACTGCCTCCAAGAGTGGAGACATTTGTATGGCAAGTTGTTCTACAGAAGTTGGCAGTGAAGTCAGCTCTTGTTAAAAGAGGTATGATGGGTATAGATGACTTGTTGTGTCCTTTTTGCAAGCAGTTTGATGAGACACCCTCCCATTTATTTTTTACTTGTTCGGTGGTTTGGAGCATTTGGAATAAATTCATTAGGTTCTGGAACATTCAATCTGTCTTTCATGTTGATGCAAAAATATTTCTCCTAGCATGGGCTGATTTGAGGCTTAATTCAACCATATGGTCATTTATTCCAGGGGTTGTCCTATGGATAATTTGGAAATTTAGAAATTATATTGTTTTTGAAAGAGGAAAGGTAGATCAAGCAGAACTCTTCTTTTTAGCTAGATTCAGGCTAGCTTCATGGTACTTAGCTAAGTACAAACATGTTTCGATCTCTAAGGATTTGCTTATTTCAGATCCTTCCTTAGGGGATTCTTGTTCTCCTAACTCCAAACTGATTGCAACTGTGATTAATTGGTCCCCTCCCCCAAAGGGCTTCATCAAATTAAATGTCGATGCTGCTACTACTACTGACTGGAAGAGAAGTGGGATAGGTGGTGTTTTGAGAGATGATAACAGGACAATCATTCTCTTACAAGGAATCCGCAGGTCCTGGTCCTCATACTTTGATGGAATTGAAATCTATCCTAAAGGGCTTATCTTTCTTTCACACTATACGACACAGATTAAAGGATCAGTTGATAATTGAGAGTGACTGCAGGGTGGCAGTTGACTGGGTTAGGGATTTCGTTTCATGTCCTGCTGTTTATGCTTACATTGTTAAAGATATTATTGAAAAACTTAGACTGTGTGAAGGTGTTATTAGATGGGTTAATAGGGCAGCTAATCTAGAGGCAGACGCTCTAGCTAAGGCTGGTATTAGTTAATATTTATGTTGTTTTTAAGGTTGTAACTATTTAGGTTGTTGATTTCCTTCAAGGAGTTTTAGGTTTTTGTAATATATTGTATTAAGTTTATTATTAATAAAATCCAAGGCACTCTTTTCCTCCTTCCGCTGATTAAGAAACTTTTTCAGAGTTCCATTAATCATGAAGGGGGTTTTTAATGAGGCCTAATATTCCTATCAAAAAAATAATAATTTCAAAAAACAAGACAAAAATGGGTTTTAGTTTTGCCAGACATAACAGTTAAGTATGTGCTCTACAAGTGGAAGCAGTCCAAGGGGAAAATTACTTATTTTCAGATAAAAGGGGTTGTAAGTATAATTTCAGGGTTTATTCGGGGCAACCTTGTAATTCATAATACATATCATGCATATTGGTTTCCAATTATGCTACTTGCCATTTCCAGACAAGCCAAAGTTAAGGCATTCAAAGGGCAGGCCTCACTGTGCTCTTACAATAGCCAGATCGTTGACCATATTAGCAAATAATAACTTTCAAGTTGGTTTAGCTAATATAATGATATAAGGTATCATCAATAAACCATTTAGAGTTCCCAGGTTGACCATGAAAAAAAAATGTTTAAGGGTTCACATATTTGAGTCAACCATATTTCTAGGTTTCCTTGTTCTCCGCTTCTTAAAAGCCAGGCAAATTTCTTTTCTTGGCATCACAATCATATTAGAAGGCAATTATTCTCAAGTTTAAGAACACATATCCAAACCTTTTCTCCTATACAAATGCAGTTGGACAAAACAAGCAAGTAGCACATAATGATCTAATTCGAATTCCTCAGCATCTTGCTTATATGAGAGAAATCCTTTAGTTGTGCACCTTTACACCTACCATTCTTTGTCTAAAGAATAAGTGCCCAGAAAATGTGTCAAATGAAAATACCAAATGTATGAACCCATGTTAACATTTAAATTTACAACGATAAGTCTGCTATGACGCTCGACGACACAGGCAGTAAGTGAAGAGACATTAAGCACGGTTCCAGAAGCAGCTTCAATGAAAAGCTAAATTCACAATTTAATAGTTTATAGTTGGTTTTTAATCCTTCCTAAATATAAACAACCTAATTCGATATGAAGCTATTAACTCAACCTTAAACAAAAAAAAAACCCTTTGGTAGTAGATACATTCATAGCATTTCCCCAATGGGGATGATACAATACAACAAACATAACATGCCCAAGGTTTATATAATCAAAATCAGTAAAATTGGTAAGCTAAGAGGAAACAATTCTACTACTTAATGAAATATTAATTTTCTTAAGAAAAAAGTTGATAGAATCCATATCGAATTCGAAGCCATGCTGAAGAAAACTTTTGCTAGAGGCACAATGCAAAACCTTTTGAAAATGAAGGCAAAAGAACCAAAAAAGAGAGAAAAAAAGATGATTAAACAAAGCGATTGCCATTATTTGATTTGAACGGGGGAAGAAAGAGACAAAACTTACATTCCTCGACCACCAGCAAGAGCTTCTTCCGATGGATCTTTCCATTCATCAAAGCTGCACTCAATTTGAAACATATAAATAAAATTCTTGGAAAATTCAAAAATAAAATAGAGAAATTGAGGGTCTTACACCCAGCCATAACGGCGGTCGAATAGCAAGCGTTCTGAAGATGGTTTACTGTTTGTTAACTCCATTCACGCCTTTTTCTTTTTCTCTATGCTCTTCTCCTTCTAACTTTTTCCGCTGTGTTTTCCCATTTTTTTCCGCCTCTAACATCTATCCATATTCCACAACACAACAAGGGTTACGGTTTTGAATTGACTTATTACAGTTTGACCCTTCAATTTTATCCGTTTTCTCATTTTCTACTCATTTATTTATTTTTTCTGTCTATTTTGTACATAAACTACCATTTTCCCTCTCTCCTCCAAAAATTTCAACTACAAGCTAACGCTTACATAAATATACCATTGAAAACTTAAAATTGAAAGAGAAATAGAGTTTAAGATACAAATGTGATAAGCTGAAGATAAATATACCATTGAATGTTAAGTTTGTATGGGTACAATTGAGCCATATAGTTCATTTTTTATTACGATTCTTATTTAAAGATGTTGGAGGGAAGTTGTTGGTCATTGGTGATGTTAGAGGGAGACAATTTTTAGTTATGTGGTAATTAGTAGGAGATTCGTGTATCAATAACTACTTATAATATAATGCACTGAATAAATGAGAAAATAAGCTAAAGTTATTGTGTAAAGTAAAATTTATACATGTTTTTTTTATGATTACTTATTATAAGTTTTACAAGTAAGATAATCATGTTATTATAAGTATTTGGCGAATTAAATGACAAACTCATGCATATCATAATTTGATGTCATACCGTTCATTATTTGCACATTAATTACTATCTTAGTAAGCTTTATGCTTATTTTGTGAATTTAATAACTTTACATATGTTCAGTATTCATAGATTGATCATAATTGTATTTAGGACGTTGTAAGTCACTTTCGAAACATTCAATGTAATTTCTTTGTGTTTAAATTCTTATACGATAGCATATATCATTGTTGTGTAATCAATATGTAGTTAGGGTAGTATTTTAATTAGTTTCAAAAGTTTTAAAATTTGGCGTGATATAATGGCTGCAAGTGTATGATATGATGATTGTGAAGTTACATTAATGTCATGTTGATAAAAGGTGAATGCGCCATAATACGCAAAGATTCATAAAGCCAAGGCAAATGCCTTTGATTTCATGATATTCATGAATATGTTTATGTCATTTTAGTAAGTTAAGCTTTTTCATGGAAATATATTGAATGTAAAATATATCCATTAATTAGACGGTTTCAATGGTGCTCGTTGAGTAGGAAGTGAATTATGCTTGTTTTGGGTAGGTATAAGCATAGTTAGGTTAGCATGTGGTCAGAGACGGAGCCAAGATCAAATATTGAGGGGGACAAAATAGTTTTATATCAAGAGAACACTAATATATTAATTATTTAAATTTAAAAATTTGGAGGAGGTAAATGCCTAATTTAACTAATGTTTAAACTAAAAAGGACCTAAAATGCTATTATACCAAAAAGTTTGGGAGTGGCAAAACACCTCCTGTAACACCCCCAACCCGTACCTGACCTGGATACGAGTCCGAGATATCACATCGACTTTTTAAAACAATTTACTTATACAAAAATAATAAAACATTTGAACTTATATTAAGAAATCCAATAATTTACATAAGTTTACACCAAAAGTTTACAAAATAATTCAGAGCATATACAACTTAAACTTTTGATTACATGCCAACATTAACTTTCATAACAAAATAACTTATTGTTTAAGTTTATTCCTGATCTGATAGTTGCAGGAGTGATGCTGTCTCAGTTGCTTATCCTTCCTCATCTATCTTCTTGAACCCTACGTGTGAAACACTCACACGCTAAGTCATCGACTTAGTGAGGTATAATATGTAATAATTGTAACATCCTCCATACTGGGTTAGTGATCAAATTGTGAAATTTCAAAATTTAGTGACCAAAGTAGATAAATTGAATAGTTGAAAGATTTAATGGGAATGTTTTGTGTAGGATCAATTAACAAAGAAAGAGGAACTAAAGGGGTAAATGAGTCTTTTAATAGGGAAAATAATTAAATATTAGATGATGATATTTAAATCCACGTGGAAGGCAAATGGAGAGAACAAAAGTTTCCATATTTCTCTTATTCTCCACTTCTTCTTCTCCATCGTGAGACCAAGCTAAAGGTGAGTTTTTTTGTTGATCAAATTCTTGATAAATTAAGATTTCTTATTGATCCTTAGATGATAACTAAGCTTAAGGAAAGCTTAGATTATCTTAAAACCATAAGATGAGAAGTATATGAAGAATTAAACAAAGGAAGTAGAAAAGTGAAATATTGGATTAGAGTTCATAATAAGAATTAGAAGTGGGATTTGACTTGTCATAAAGCTAACTAAGAAGTATGAGGTGTTATAATTCAAATTAGAATATGTTGGAATTTAGGTTAGATTCTTAAATTCTTCATGGAGAATTGGATTTCTAAGTTTTAGAGGTATGAAAAAGATAATAATTAGTTTAAGTAAGAGTATGCAAGTTAAGGATATAAAAAGGAGGTGAAATATAAAGTGTAGAGAAGATTATAAAGAGATTTTTGTGCTTAAAATGACATTTCTGGGCTATGTGCATCGATGCACATTCAATGTGCACCGATGCATAAAGGATAAATCCCAGAAATTGTTCAAGGTGTACCGATGCACATGAAGTGCATCGATGCACTCTTTTAAAATACAAACATCGAATGCCATCGATGCATAAGGAGTGCATCGATGCACCCCATTAAATACAAACATCGAATAGGATTTATGCATCGATGCATGGTGTAGTGCATCGATGCATACCTCCATTAAAAGATGAAAATGGCTTTTCTTTTAGCCTAAGAAATGATAGTTGAGAATACACTAATTATTATACTGATAAGTATCAATGAATTACTATGTAGATATCGAGCCTAAACGAGTTCTGGAACAATCGACAAGTAGGATTGATCGAGGGAAAGACAAAGAAATCTAGGTGAGTGCATATGCATAGCATGAATTTGTCCTCGTTCCAAGAGGTGATCAATCATACCAAGGCTCTTGAAAGAGCTCAGAATGAGAGATTCAGGGATTTTAGAGTTCAGACATCAAAGAGGACGGGTGCTTCTTGTAGCTCAGCACCACCAAAAAGAAGAAGAGACTTAGGATTTCGATCACAAGCTAGATCAGAATCAGTTGCATCATCTGCTAGGGGAAAAAGTCATGCAAGACCTAGACAGACGTAGTCAGTGGGATCTGGTGTTGGGAGATCTACTCTGAGTCAAGCGAGACAGTGTCAGCATTGTGGGAAAAACCATTCTGGGCTTGTCGGATGGCTGCTAGGACTTGTTTCCGATGAGGAGATACCGGACATTTTATCCGGGATTGTCCATTGATGGTTGGTGAGCCTGCACCATCTGAAAGAGTTGGTTCTACCTCACAAAGAGGACGAGGAAGAGGCAGAGGAAGGAACTTGTCTGAATCCTCTGCTCAACCTGAAGTTCGGTCAACCACACGGGTGTACAATCTAAAGACAAGTGAAGACCGTGACGACCCTGATATTATAGCAGGTACTTTTCAGTTGTACGATAAATTAGTATTGATACTGATTGATCCAGGCTCTAATTATTCTTACATTACGAGTAAGTTAGTAAATGAATTGAGGATTTCCTTAGAAGCCACGAGTAATGAGATTATAGTAACTAATCCTTTAGGCCATAGTGCTCGGGTGAACAAAGTCTGTAAGGGGTGTCCCATAAAGATTCAGGGAATTGAATTCCCTACTAATCTGATGGAATTACCCTTTGACGAGTTTGAAGTGATTCTGGGAATGGATTGGTTGTTCCGTTACTATAGAGATGTTAATTACAGATCGAAAAAGGCAACCCTGAAGAGTCTAGGAGGAACAGAGATAAGTGTGAGTAGTGAAAGGTTTAATCCTTTAGCAAATGTAATATCAGTAATGTCAGCTAAGAAGCTGTTGCTACAAGGATGTCAAGGATTTCTTGCAAATGTGATAGATTCAAGAGCTAAAGAAAAAGGATTGAATGAGATTTTAATAGTTCGAGAATTCCCTGATGTTTTCCCGGCTGAGTTGCCAGGATTACCTCCAGATAGAGAGATAGAATTTCAAATTGAAGTAATGCCAGGAACCGCTCCAATTGCAATGGCACCTTATCGGATGGCCCCGAAAGAATTGTAAGAGTTAAAGAATCAATTGCAAGAGTTGTAAGAAAAGGGATTTATTTGACCAGGTGTGTCACCTTGGGGAGCTCCGGTGTTATTTGTTAAGAAGAATGATGGATCAATGCGTCTCTATATTGATTATCGACAGCTTAATAAGGTGACCATCAAGAATAAGTATCCCCTTCAGCGCATTGATGACTTGTTTGATCAGCTAAAAGGAGCTTCAGTATTTTCGAAGATCGATCTACGTTCGGGTTATCATCAATTGAAGATTCAGGAGAAAGATATTCCGAAGACGGCTTTCAGAACAAGATATGGTCATTATGAATTCATTGTAATGCCCTTCGGAGTAACGAATGCATCTACTATTTTCATGGATCTTATGAACAAGATTTTTCAGCCCTATTTGGACCAATTTGTTGTTGTCTTTATTGATGACATACTGGTGTACTCGAAATCCATTGAAGAGCACATCGCACATCTAAGGCTAGTTTTGTAAATTCTCAGGGATAAGAAGCTTTATGCGAAATTGTCCAAATGTGAATTTTTGCTAAACGAAGTAATTTTCTTGGGGCATGTGATCTCGGCAGATGTGATTAGAGTGGACCCTCAGAAGGTTAAAGCTATAATGGTATGGGAATTTCCCAAGAATGTATATAAAGTTCAGAGTTTCCTGGGACTTGCCGGTTATTATCAAAGATTTGTTAAGAATTTTTCGATGATAGTGCTGCATTTAACGAAGCTGATGAGAAAGAATGTACCATTTTTTGGACTTCTGAATGTCAAGAAAGTTTTGAAGCTATAAAGAGAATTCTGACAGAAACTCCTGTATTGGTTCAACCAGAATCTGGCAAGAATTTTGTCGTATACAGTGACGCGTCCCATAACGGTTGGGGTGTGTATTTATACAAGAAGGGAAGGTGGT